ATCCAACCATAAAAACAAAGAATTAACAATCTCCCCATTAGGCTTATTTTGGCTAAAACTAATTTTCATAACCTTTTCATAAATACAACAAGAACAAAACTCAAAGTCTAAATAATAAAACAACAGCAACTAAAAACTATAAAAAAACATCAGAAGCAGTCAGTCTTTAGTCTCCACACATTAGACAGTCTTCACTATCTTCAGCCATGATGTCATAACATCAACAATAAGACTTCTTCATGAAAGTACAACACCATACACCATATTTTCTCCCCCCCCCTTTAGCCAGAATATGACAAAGTCAGCAATGAGAAACTCAATCATCGTGTCCAACATCAACTCACAACAGCTCTAAACAATTCCATTCCAAATTCAAAATTTCAGCCACCACATACCATTCCTCTTCATGTTAAGCTCAACCAATCCATTACGGCCAATACAGTATGATGTTAACCCCAAAAGCATTCCTCACGGGTTCAATTTATTCCCCCTTAATCCCGAAACATTCATCACAAGGGGACAAATCTTCTTCTAAGGAGGCACAAAAGGAGACTTAAGAAGTATCCATCCACTTATTTGAGCAACCATTTTGACAACAAATGAGACCTCACTGTTACTCATGAGTAACTCATAACATAAGAAACAAATGTGTTCATAACTCATATCACAAGACATAACAAAAATTCTCAAAGAGAACCAAACACAGAATATGACATCCTATTCAACATTTTTGCAAAAACAACTGCAAAAGCAGACCTCAAATTTATCAATATCTGAATAATACCTTTCTCCCCGGGATTTTCAAGCACATGAAAAATAAAGCCTTCACAAAACCAGACCCAAGAGATACTCACCCATACTTGTACAAAAGCCATACAGACTTATGTAAAAACTAATCAATTACAAGGGAAGGAAGAGAATAAATGACCTCTATAAATACTCAAGCAAAGACATAGGAATTAACGATCACAAACTCAGTCAATGGTCCTGGTCAATAGCGTTGATAGGGAAACAAGACCAAAAGTAAATGCAATTTCCAAAATAGATTTTGAATGCCTTCTTGACTGAATCTTCTAGAATAGGATATTTCCCATAACAGCTCATGCTTAGTCAAAAATCATGTTTTACACTCCATCATGACTTGTAGAGATTGCAACATCCATAAAATTTACTTGTTTGGCTCAAGGGGAAAACATGTCCTGAAAAGTATCTTGACATCTAGTCATACATTGTCTTCCTTTTCTAAAAAGAATCTTGACCACACATCTTCAACCATCAGATCAAGATGCTTCACACAAATAATATGTCTTCCACTGATCTCTCAATACTCTCCTTGTTTGCCTTCAAGAGTGACACAGTCCAAACTACCACATCATTACAAGTGGTATCTCCAAACAGACTAAATTTGGCCCCAATAAACACTTATAGCCACATGTCACGACATGTTATCTGACATCACTTTCTCCTCAACTTTGAACCACATGCAAGCTCCACAGAATCTGCACCATTGCAGTAACAACCCATAGACAAGACCTTAACTCCCCCTGTTATTGATAATCCAAGCTCCTTCTGAAAATAACCTCTTCAGCACCAGACTAAAATAAATGAAGATTCTCACATGCTTATAATGTTAAATCACAACTTCCCATATTTTTTGACCATCTGCACACCTAGGTCTTTAGACTTCTTCAAGGGAACTAATTGTCAAGACTTTTTGGAAGGCAGAGATGTCATGCACACCAAACTCAAAACATCCGCACATTCTCAACTTTCTTAAAAGCATTACTGAGAGTTTGATAAACATTCAGATCAGACGAATACAACTTCAAAAGTAAATATTCAGATCAGACCTCAATATTTGAATTTCCTTCTGCCATTCCATTCACTAGTAATTACTGATACTAGTGAAGACTTCAACATAGTGGTTATGCATTCCCCAAGCATGATATTGTAAACAGGACCAGAACCTGCACATTCTAATCCACATAGTCAGAACTCTATTTTCTGACAAAAATGTTGATCCTCAATCCTCCATAACCATAATCCAAAAAAATGATGTTACAACATCATTTATGACATCAACATTTCTTCATAGAACCCAATCAATTGGTTCTTGATTGATCACTTCAGGTTCACACCTTCTACAACTCCTTCAGGTTAATACAACCACCTGAATACTATTGAGAGAAATAAACTCTCAACAATATCTGAATCAACAGTTTAGACAGTATATTTCCATCCACACCTTAGATAAGTACCTAACTCCTGACAAGGTCTTTACCATCAGTAACATGCTCATCTTAACAAGATCAGATTCATACCCAGCTCCCGACAAGGTATTTGTCATCAGATGAAAACTTCCCCGTACATACAGCTGCAAATAATACTCTCTTTCAATAGATGTTATAACACTTAGTCTGACATCCTTCTTCTTCCCATTTAGCACTAGAGGATTCTTCATAACATTACAGACTTGGTCAGAGATTGGAATTCATACCTCAACATGGTAATACATTCCAACTTTGGAATCCATTGGTGATAAGAAATTCTCACCCCATGATATTCAATATAGCTTCCTTCCATGAAGTCGCAAACACCTGAGATGATGTTCCAACATCTCTTCTGACATCAATCTCAGTCACATGGATTTCACTTTTAACTATGGTTCTGGAGACAACACCATAGTAATCCATACAAACCCTCTTGAGGGTGAACACAAGAGAACCATACTTCAATAGTTGATTGTATATGTAGATTCTAATCAACAGCTGATTGTATATGCAAATTCCAATCATCAGTTGATACCACACTTCAAGAGACTTCTTCAAAAACACAATAACCATAACTCCTATAAAGTTCCACCCTTATGCTCATAAAGAGGAAATACCTCTAAAATGAAAAGCATAACAATCATGGTATTTATTGATCATCATATCATGAAGATACTATCTAGAAGAGTCTGTTTCTCTTATTCTTCTGAACAACTCATCATGACTATTGAAACAACCGACTAAATAAATCATCAAGATAAAATAAATGAAGTCTCCATAAAATGTTTTTTATCCCATAGTAAGGGAAATGTAAACACCGAGTAAACCTGAGAAGGGTGAAATCAAGGTCAAACGACCAAGAGATACGGGTAAGGGAGTCTGTTACGCGAGAGGAAGGTATTAGCACCCCACACGCCCGTAGTACTCTATGGTCTCCAATCTTGTTATTCTAATCAAAGGGTATGTTCAAATTTAAGCTACGTGCTAAAATAAAAATACAAAGAGGGAATGCATGCAAAAGAAGAAAACACGGGGAAAAGAAGGAAATATTTACAAAGTTTCGCTCGGCTGAGCCCTGTGCCAAAATGCATACATATCCGTTTTAAGGAATCAGAGCGCCGTAGTTCGACTCACATGTTTTGGTTTGTTTTGTGTTTTTTAATGAAAATATTAATTTCGCCTTCTGCATCTGCTTGACCATTAGAGACTCACGCGTCAGCACATAAGTGATTTAACATGTTCTACCTAACAAGGTATTTGCAAAGAAAAATGCCCGAAGGCAGATAATGCTACATTCATTCTCTAGTAATTTAGACATAGTGCCACCCGACCTTTGGGGATTTATGCGTCGTATTGCATAGAGTAGAATTAACACATCCTTTTGAAGCTTGAAAAAGGATTTGAAAGTTGTTAGATGTTTTATGCATTTTCCAAGAAAAGAGTTTTATTCTTAATGCAAGGATGCAAAAGAAAGAAAAACATCCAAGGGAAACTAGCTAGAATCTAATCCCCAATGTTATCATACAATTATTGATCCTAAGATTGAGTTTTGAAAGGGAAATCTCTACCCTATGTTAGCATACATGGATTACAACCCTAATGTCTATCTCTAATCACCGCTAAGGATGAATCAAGAACTCCTAAGGAAGCATAGCAAATGTTCACAACCTAAACCTATGTTTATCTCGAATCACCACCAAAGGGTGAATCGAGAGCTCCTGAGGGAACATAGCAAAGGTTCACAACCTAAACCTATACCTATCTTGAATCACCACCCAAGGGTGAATCAAGAGCTCCTAAGGGAACAAGCTAAAGGTTCAAAACCTAAGGGAACATGCAATGAGACCAAAATCTTTATCTCAATTCTCATTGAGTAACATCATCGATCATTAACAAAGGAAAACGATAAAGTCCTAAGGGAGCATGCAATGATCAAAGTAGTTTTCTCAATTCTAATTGAGTGACATCATCGATCGTCAAAAGGAGGCAAACACAAGCACAAACACAAGTATCAAATAAATGCATAATTCCTGGTACAGGTCTTTAAACAACGACTTCAGACGCACGCTCTTTATTTCCTACTTCTCATGATATCTAAAAAGCGATAGACAATGCGGAAATGAGGAATAAAATAAAGTCATGATGATACCTAACGGAGAAGGTTCAAAGAGAAAACTCTACCAAAAGCCTCCTTGAATTTTTCTCAATAGAGATTGTGTTCTTAGTTAGCCTCAAAACTTCTCAAACCCAAGTCTCTTTTTATTCTAAATTCTCACTCCAAATTGGCATTAAAAACTACCAAAAACATGGCTAAAATAACAACAAACAAAGTTAATAAAAGAATTAAAATTCTATTTTAATGTTTTTTTTGAACTTTTATCATGTAAAAAAATTTTACGCAAGAATCATCAAGGAATTAATTGCAAATAATTAAAGAACAAAGTAAAAAAAATTAGAGATGAGCTAGGTGGTTCAAGGACCAGTTCAGGAGTGTGAATAGAAGGTCCATACGTTAGGCCCAAACCGTGCATTTGCAACTGATTTTCCATTTCAATCTCTATCATTCTCTGACTTGTAACATAGCAAAATAAAACTAATGAAAGAATGAAAAACGCCCGTGTTTTGGAGATATGAAATAAGAGACCTCTCAGCTTCCCAAATCAACTCAGGTCACTTCCTCTGTGTTCTTTATCTCTCGTTTCAATCCACAAAGACCGGAGGTGTCGAAGCATGGCGTCTCCCTCTAAAATCAATCGTACCACACTCGTTTCCTTACTACGAGTCTCAATAGCACTGGAATCTACCTTCTTCTTCTTGTACCTTTCCTGTGTTGCTGAATTGCGAGGTTATTGTTGCATTTACGATGCGGCGTGTCGATGCAGTGCAATTCAAAGAGAAAGGAAGTAATTGAAATTTTTTTTGCGATCTTACAGATGAAGGTTGAATATGATTCAGTGTGGTGGATAGAAGCTTGTTGTAAAAGGTGAACTAGTAACAAGATGAAGTAGCATGGAGATGATGATGGTGTAGGATGCTGAAGCGTAATGAAGATGATTGTGATGATGAATCTTGAAGATTTGTTGATGGTGATGAAGGATGTTGCTCTGTTACCGATAATTCTCTGATCGAATTGATGCAAGTGCCGTAGATTATGGACGAATTGATGCGATGGTGATGAAGATATTCAAAGATCGATACAGGAGATTGAAGGTTGAAGAGAACCTTGAAGGTTCTTATGGTGATTCTTCAGCGATTGTCCAGAATCAAGGATTGAGAGGTAATTTTCTGTTGTAAATCTGTTATGAGTTTGTTAGGATTAGAATGCATCTGAGCCGTTGATTTCAATTTCTGTTATATGAAATCAATGGTGAGATTGAACTGGTTTGGGTTAGTTAAAACTGGACCGAGAATTGTTTATTTCCTCTGCTTTCTCTATTTTCACGGTTTCCTCTTTCCATCTATATGTTTCTCCTGATTTTTCTCTGTGTGATGTGTTGTGTGGATAATCAATGTTGAGATTTTTGTGGGCATAATGAATGAATCTCCCTGAATCTGTGAGAAAACTTTCTTATATGGCTTGAGAGTTTGTTGGAATTTTTGTTAGAGGTTGGTTTAAAACAATTAGCAAGTTGTTAGAATTAGTTAAATTTGTTGGATTCAGTAGAGTAGTTATAGGCTGAGTTAAAACTGTTAAATGTCGTTCTAATTCTTTTTTGACAGTTTTAATCAGGAGGACTTTATTTCGGTCAGCTATCCAAACTTGTCAATTGTTGGTAGAAAATAATTAGTGAAAGTTATGTGGTTAAAAACTGAAGATTGATAAATTAGGAAGTCAATATGATAGGTTTTAGTTGGTGAAGTGATTTTGGACATGAACTAGTTTAATGGTTTACATTTCTGATTTTTATTAGTTCTATGACTTGGTGTATGCAGATTTTTAAATTTTGGAGCAACAGCAGGGCCACAGTTCCATTTCATTCTCTGCTTCTGTATGGATTTTCTTTATCATGAACAAGGCATTTGGATTTGAGCAGAATTTAGCAAAAGCATATCGGCGACAAGATGATCATGAAGGCAAGGTGATGAATGGGATTGAGATTAGGTAATTTGTATTTTGTAACTTTGAAAATGTAAAGAAAGGCTTTTCATTTGGTTGACTTGTAACATATTAGTTTGGATGAATATTGAATGTAGTTTTGAAATGTTTGAATAACATTTGTTCTCTGAAATGGTATTTGGATGAACCATGGACTTGGATTTGTATTGAATAACGAATATGTGGTTTGGAAATGGTAACGATGAATGGAAACTTGAATGAATTGATTTGGTTATTTGAATGAGGTTGAACGCTTTAATCTTGCACTCTTAGATTAATTCTTGACAAATCAATATTGGTGCGATAGAGAATCCATAAACTAAAACCTTGAATCATGCTAATTGATCATTTAGCAAAATTGAATTCATATCCCACTTAAATGAACATCTTACCACAACAACTTCAGTTTTCAATGAGCAAAAACCAAATCAATTTGCCTTCTTGCTAAAACCCTTAGCTTCAATCCCAATTCCATATGAATTTTCTACAAGCAACAAGAAATAAGCAATTGCGAGGACAACACTGCCTTGATCATAACTAATCCTCAACTTCCACTTTATGACTCCTAACTTGCATGTCAATCCTCAAATATGTCTTGATTTGGTGAGCAACATGATAGGAATGCCTTGAAGGACCCTTTGTTGAAGAAAGGTTTGGAGCACAGAATGAAGCATGTTCATGATATGAAAAATCCAATTAACCTTAGTTAATGATGAGAAACCCTAATCCATGACCTCAGGTAAGGAAATAAACCTTAATCCTTGGCCTTGAATAAGTCTTGCTACTTGTTTCAAGTGAAAAAATCTTTCATCTTTAACAATGTGAATCCACTTGATAAATTGAGTCAAAATGATCACTTGGACGAATTTTGAACGGAGCTTGGATTGACTTGAAAATATCAATAACAAATCCAAATCACCTTGCCTCTAATTTCAATTTCTCAATATCAAGGTTATCTTGCAATTGAAGTAACAAGTATTTGATGAGAACTGAAAATTGTATCGTTTAAAACATGTCCACAATGTTGAAGGCGAGAGGCTTGAGATGACCATAAGATCTAACCCTGACTCAATGATCCTCGGTTGAAGCACAATAGATGAAAACCCAAATCTTATGAAAAGTACACTTAATGAAGAAGCAGCTTAACGTTAAAGCCATAGTTCATAGTCTTCTCAGTTAGAATAATTGATGAAGGAATACATTGAACACCCTTGAATGGGAGGGATATCCTTGAAGCCACAGAAACCTTAATTCCACGCATTCACTTATAGAAGCGGGATCAGAAACCTCAAGCTTTATTTGATATGCACACCTCAAAAGAATGTGAAAACCCTGGCATCACACACCCACTAAACTTTTGAACCCTTGTGCTTTATTGAATGCAAATGCATGCTATGTTAGTGCAGATGACCAAATGAAAAGATGTGAATGCAAAAGCCCAAGCTAGATAGTAGGATAATTAGGAGGGAAAATTTTGAGGTACAACAACTGTAAGTTAATCTTCCAGAATATTAACTTACCTCAGGTTGATGCATCTCCATAGCACACAATCCCTAAAGTATCTCTTCCACTTTAGCAGAACAAGAGTTCAATATCCTCATAGACTTGGCAAGGGATATCAAGTTTGAGGACAAACCCTTCATCCTGTTTGAGTGAAACACCAATTAAACATGTTGAGAAAAAGTAAATTCTCAACACAAGGATGTGAAGACAATATATCTGATATCTCAAGAATCACCAACTCTGGACTAGGGATTCTTCTTCATCAACTTCTAAGATCATAGCACTACAACAAGTGGTCGGTGCACACCAACAAAAATAAAATCTCTCTCTGTTTCAACAAAACATGCTTACACTCTTCCGACATATTTGATCAAAATAAATTTCCAGCAGACAGAGAAATTCCTTGACATATGAACTTGACCTTCATATGCAAGCACGTGGCAGAGATAATAAATTTCGCCTAGACATTCAAGCTTAGCCTCTGCACTTCTACTAACTTGAATCAGAAATAAATTGACTCAAGAAGCACACCATTGGTTGATCGTCTCTTAACTAATTCAATCCCATATGTGTTTCTGGATAAAACATATTAGATATAATCACAAATGCCCCCTCTTCTAAGTCCGGAGTAGGTTCCAAACACATGTGATTAACACACATTTGTTTAACACCCAAAGCATTTGTTAGTCAACAGGAAGTTGCACACCTGCTGACATGATGTCCCAACATCTGGTAGGACATCAGTTCCCTTCATCTAAAACACAAAACTGAGATTGGTTCTGAAGCTATTACTGCTTTCAAAAACTCAAAACATCCCTTAATCATCTTCAAGGTATTAAAAAATAATCCAAGCTCCAGCTAATACCAACAACAGTAAGACATAAAGTTACTTACCTAATCAATTCACGTATTAGGAAGACTCTTTTAGAAACTAAAATAAATGGCTCTATATTTTTCTTCAATAATCTATCAAACAAATGACAGGTTTCTTGAAATATATATACCACACACCAAAGTTCCTTTATGAGTGGACTTGAGAAATAAAATCAAATATCGTTGACCACTTTATAAATATGGTTGAAACCGTCTTGCTCATATCCTATCATCATAGGATACACCTGCTGAGGAGACCAAACCCTAATGTCATGTCAACCAGGGTTACAACAGATACCATGCAACGGAACAAACAAAATCTCCTAAACAACCTCCAGGCACAACAAACCCTTGCACACAAACGCCACACTTCAGGTGCACCGGGTCAACATAGGTTTGAAAATAGTTTAAACCAAAACACAGTAGCTTGCCACCAAAGCTACAAGCCTGAAAACACCACTGACAGGTCCAATACACACCTTGTCACGAACAACCCATCCTCTACTTTTAGGGACCGTTCAAACAACAATATTAACTCTCCAAGTTCATACAACTTTTCAGTAGAACTAATATACCTTGCACATAACCAGAAATTATCTCCCTTGGATCTCATCCAGAAACAAACAGGATGCCTGCTCTAATACCAATTGAAATTCTGGTATGACATAACTCAGATGTCCTATGACATGTTGGGACATCTGATCCGACATAAACAAACAGGCAAGGTATCAACAATAAGGAACATTACTGAAAAGCATAAATAACACACCAAAATTGTTAACCCAATTCAGAGCAACTCTCCTACTCTGAGGGGCATAGCAAGCCAACGATAAATCCACTATGATAGTATCAATTCAAATCTAAACTCCACCATTTACAACTTCACTTAATCACTACCCTTCCTAGATTTCTATCTAAGACTCGCCTAGATATGAAGACCTCCTCAATTCCTCTTCAATCACAGACATCCATTGAATCAACACAACAATTCTAAACAAACCGGAAGACACACTTCCATGACAATCTCTAGCCAAGACTCTTGACTAAGACAAAACTTGGAGTTTCTTAAAAGCTTCCTCCAAGAATAATACTCACTCTTGCTTCACAACTTCGAGGAGAATACAATGACCATCTCACAACCCGAGTGGTTCACACATACCAACTCTTCTAGAGAGTGACTAACAGACTCAACCCCCAATGATTACATCTTTTAAATTCCTAGCTCGTAGTAATCCTAGGTTACAAAACTTCTATTTATAACCTATACCCAATTGGATTTGGGTCTTCAAATGATAGCTCTTTGGTTGTTACAAATAATAGAAAATTCTGCTACAAAATAGGTCTTCAATCATATCTTCCTAAATTATCTCCATATTTAGAAAGTCAATATCTTCAACATTATTCTTGATTCTTATTGACCTACAAAATAGAACCACATTGGATAATATAGATAATTTATTATCCTTAAAGTATATTATATTTTTGTGACTTAACAGAGTATAACAGTCCAGTTCAGCTCATGCGCGATGTCGTACACTTCCTCATAGGACAACTCATCCGACATGTTGCTCTAGATGTTGAAACACTTCAACTCATCATGTCCTAACATAATATAGGACTTCTTGCTAAACCTGTTTCTGTTAGCAAGTTAACACATTGTACCTATCATCTTGCTGCTATATTAGTTTTACCAAACATAAAGCCAACCATAAAAACAAAGAATTAACTCATGCCTTATGCTCAACTTACTGAAACCAGGCAACATTGCACCGTATCATATCATCATTCGAAAAATTGAATCGAAAATGATATAATTCAACACCAATGGTCCATAAACACATAATCATGCACAAGTAAGCCTCAAACAACTTTTGAAAAGCAATTCACAAGGCATTTGCAATCTTCAGGCAACAGCACATAAATGTTTCACAATCAGACAAAAATGAGTTTAAAAAATCATAAAATGATACACAAAATATTCACTGATTCATGTATCCTCGCTTGGAAATTACAAACACTCTGCATCAATTAAATCTGCATTCAAGCAATGATTCCAAACTTTAAACAACATAATTTAAGAGTCGACACAATTAATTGAACTAAAAGTTTTAGCGTCGAAAACATTGAATCCCTATTTAATTTGACTCGAAAACCGTATCAACTCATGAATTCAACCTTAATTCCACATGAAATTCAAAAATCAAGCAGTCAGAAAAAAATTAACGCGCGAATTCAAATAATCAAGAGCACAACATATTTTGACGTGCAAAATCTATTGAATCCATACAATTAACATCAATTCAACAAGGATTTATCCTACTCCATATTTATTCATCATTAACAATGTCAATTAAACTCCAATTAATCTCAAGAACCTCAAATAAAATTCAATTCATGTAATCAATTCACATAAGCACTTATGTACAAAATCAATCATACAAAAGCACTTAAATCAATTAAATTAAGGAG